GTTATATTGGGGGAAATTGCTTTGCAAAAATATGTAAGGCAGGCAAAATTGCGTATTAGAAGAGGTTTGCACTAAAATCCAGTGAGAACTTTAAAACATAATACTTCACAAACTTATGTGGGAATGTGGGAGACCTAAACTTAAAATTGGGGAAAAGGAGAAACTGAGAAAAAAACGAAACTGAAAAATTCATGCACCCCTGATGGATTATGTTAACCTTGTTCTCCATTGGATCTTGGGGTGTAAACTTCTAAAGACATATAACATATTTTTAATGGAAGTAATATTACTGGTCACAGCATGACCTTTGAATGTATGCATATAGATGTTGGTGAGATCAGATTTTCTCAACTTTAGTCCATAGAATAGTCTTTTTATTTTTAGGTGTGATAGCTTTGATGTCTTGAGTGTACTTTGGAGTTATATATAAACATTCCTGTTTAGTCATATAAACCTATTAGCGTTATCTCTCTTTCTGGAAAGAGCAGAATGGAAGAATGGAGGTGCTCACTTCCTCAACAAATGATTATAGATGGATGCAATGTGTAGCAGGAAACTACTACCTTCAGGTCAAACAAGGAAAAGCCCCTTCATTTAGTCCTTCGCGAGGCTTGAGCTGCCTCAGGAAGTGCTCTGTGGTGCCCTCTTTCTCTGCAAGACGCCACTAATCTTTTGCAATATTCTTTCAGCTAATCCTCTTTCATCCAAGCTGAGAGGGCTCTTTTGTAACTGCCTCTGCGAGACTGTGCTGCTGTAAGACTGCAGGACCTTTAACGTGGACTGGGCATTTGTCCATATTGAGCACATTCCGCAGTCCCCTTTTCACAGTCATATTTCCCCAGTTTTACACATAGCTTAACTAGCTGCTGCTGCCTCGGTGCATTTAGCTCAGAATACCACACTTGGTTTACTATAATCTGTCTTTCAAACAATGCATCAAGCTGAACAAGTATTTGACTCACGTGATTTGGACTATTTTTTTCCTTTTAAAAAATTAATTGCAGCCATGGAGAATGGGGGGCAGGTATCCTGATCAGTGCCTAAACAGGGGTGAGTGGGTGAGTTAACCCTTTCCTCCCACTGGCGGAGGAAGGGGGGTGCAATGAGTGTGGTCCACCCCAGGTGGGATACTCGCCCAGCCCCCATGGGCGGCTAGCCCCATCCCTGGGTGCACAGCCTCTGTTTCCTCCCATACTGTTTTCCTGCTGAAAATTCCCTCTCCCAAGCCACTGACAGTAGCAAATAGCAGCTTCATCCTGTCCAAGCTCTATACCCATATAAATAACACAGCTCAAATGCCAGCTGGCTGGAAACTGAACATCATTGTGCCAATTTATAAGTGTGGCAATATGTGCCATACAGGCAGCGGCTCCTAGAGTTTGCTGCATGCTAATAACACTTATTAGCTGGTCAACACCCTCTCCCCCAATTCTGCCCAAATTAGATGGACTCCACTTGCAGTGTTGGATCCAACACTGTCGTTGGAAGCTCAAGTGGCCTCAGCAGCACAGTGTCTCTTCTACCAGCTTTGATTGGTTGCCCAGCTGCAACCCTAACTGGATGGGGAAAGCATAATAATAATAATAATAATAATAATAATAATAATAATTTATTATTTATACCCCGCCCAACTGGCTGGGTTTCCCCAGCCACTCTGGGCGGCTTCCAATAAAACACTAAAATACAATAACCTATTAAACATTAAAAGCTTCCCTAAACAGGGCTGCCTTCAGATGTCTTCTAAAAGTTTGGTAGTTATTCTTCTCTTTGACATCTGGTGGGAGGGCGTTCCATAGGGCAGGTGCCACTACCAAGAAGGCCCTCTGCCTGGTTCCCTGTAACTTGGCTTCTTGCAGTGAGGGAACCGCCAGAAGGCCCTCAGCGCTGGACCTCAGTGTCCGGGCAGAACGGTGGAGGTGGAGATGCTCCTTTAGGTATACTGGACCGAGGGCTTTAAGGGTCAGCACCAACACAACTGATGCATGGCTTCAGTTGGCTAGACTACTCCAATGTACTGCACATGGCACTTTCATGATAGTTCAGAAACAAAAATGAGTGCAGAATGTGATGGCTCGATTAACTGGGACAAGAAGACATGGACCTGTAGCGCTGGTTCTGGCCTGACTGCACTGGCTACCAAATTGTTTCCAGGCCGATTTCCAAGTCCTGTTTTTGACTTTTCAAGCCTTACATAGTTCAGGAACCCTAAACCTAAAGGAGCAGCGCCCCATATGAACCTGCCCAGACCCTGAGACCCTTCACTGGGTGCCATCTGTGAGAGAGGTTTGGAGGGCTGTGGTGAGAGAATGAGCCTTTTCTGTGATAGCTCCCCCTCTATAGAATGCTCTCCTGAGAAAGGCTCATCTTGTGTTAGCTTTGTCATCATTTTGATGCCAGGCAAAGGTATCTTTGCTTCCCCCAACATTTGAATAGCACTGTTGGATGTTAGCTATTGGATGTTTTTACTCTGGTTACATTTTTAATGTGTGCTTGTATTTTCAACTGTATTTTTTTGTATTTTATTTTTGTAAATCACTTCGGAACTCTCTGTTGTGTGAAGCAATTCAGAAATTCAGTCAGCTAAATTAACTAACCTACAAGCCTTTAGGGCTTCTCAACAATCATACTGTTGCATCATTGCTATATAAATGATAAATAATAATCTTGGGAATTCTTGAAACAACAAAAAAGTTTTATTGCAGTGAAAAATAAACAGATAATATTATGTACAATAAGAAAAACATTTCCTGTATACACAATGAAATATTCATTTTTAGCATGACCAGAACCTCTTCAAGGCTAGCATTCAAGATATAAGAAGCTGTTGTTGAAGGATGTGCACAGAGCCACATCACACAGAGTTTGCCTACACGCTAGAGAATTTTCTCTCAGACTACATGATATATTACTTGTCAATCTCTAATGATAACTAAAATATTATTTATTTCTATAACGGAAGCTGTGTCTGCACTGTCGATTAGTTTGCTTGCTTTCATTTTCATTGCTTTAGGCACATTTGCCTATGCAGTATCTCTTTTCCTGTGAACCCATTAATTAAATTTCCTTTCTCCACGTGTTTTCATTAATTATATTGTGTTGTAACTGAGCTGTGTTTTAAGACTGGAGGCTTCTCGCAAGGATTTCTTCACAAGCGCACACATAGCAATAGCAAAAGTCATATGAAAAGCTGCTAATTAGACAAAAGTGTGCACTCAGCTCCACCCAACTGTGACAACCTTGACGACAGTGTTTTGTTCAGCTGTATCTTCAGATGACGTAATATGGCCCCTTTTTATACTGGGATAATTTTAAAGTAAGATTAACTAGTGCCTCAACTTCAGCTGTGCTCCCTGCAGAAGCTGCAGGGAAAAGGCACTTCGGATTCACCCCAAGAGAACATTTGTGTGCAGCAAAGCAGCAGTGCAGACCAGCCCTAAATGGCAAATTATTGGTAGAGTATGAAGGCAGGAAAGAAGCATGAAGAGGTTGGTTCCTCTTGCACCATGTTACACAGCAATGCATTTCAGAGCTAGATCCTAGGATGTACCTCCAGCTGCAAAGAAATGGAAGCTGGAGGATCAATCCTTTCACTTATTGGACCTCTGCTCCTCAAATGGATTGCAATGGCCTTGGGAATCCCAAACTTTGCATAAATTGCATGGAGGAATGTTAAGGCTGCAGGGTAGCATTGTACATGTGGAGAGAATGATCACAGTTAAAACAGGCTACTTCTGGGAGAGAGGGCAAGCATATGGGTTGGAGTTACAGTTTTGGATTTGCCTTGATCCTCCATAAGGAACAGAATTACTAGAATCAACAGTATGACTCAAACTAGAGCAGTAACAAGGTGTGCTGGATTTGAGCCAGCATCATCTTTAGCACAGCCCCTCCCCCAAAAATCCTGGGGTCATCAACTCTAAACCATGCCAAACTGCATCAAAACTGTGAGTATCTATGACTAAAAAAAGCTAAGCACCAGAGAGACACACAAATTGTGTATGTGAATTCACATGAGAAATATTTATCCCCTATTGGTATTTATTAAGAGTTACCTAAACAAAGTCATGCAGTTACATTCCAGGAATTACCTACTACCCAAAAGTATTCATACTCGCCTTGTTGGGGGGCAAGACAAAAATTATTCTTCAGTTCAGAATGATCTCAACCAAGAAGAGACAGTACGCAGATACAGCCAAGAAATAGTGGGGAGGGCAAATCCATAGCAATTCCAAAGAATTAAGAACTTGACTGGTATCTCTCTAGTGGGATATTTGAACCCAGTACAAATCATAGCATACAAAACCATTATCATGAATCCATTAATGAGAAAAAAACAATATGCACAGAAAATACACTAAATTAAAACAAAACATTTTTTTAATTAAAAAAAATCAGCAACAACAACCATACACTTAATCAAACTCCCTATTAGTTTAAAAAATCCTTTATTTAACTGTAGTTCTTCTTGCCTTCAGTAGCATGTGCCTGTGATATATGTAAAAAAACTGAGTACACAGCCACTCGTATTTCTTTTGGTGGAGAGATAACTTCCTAGATGATTCAGGCCATCTTATCTAATAAGTATAGCATGAAAGCCAACAGCCAGGACAACTTCAAAAATATGAGGAAACTTGCAGTCTGAAATTCTTCATTTAGTATGTTCCTAATAATAGATTTTCTTCTAATTTTATATTGGACAAGAAAGGCTAAATATGCCTTACGTGCAAAACAGCTAAATAACTAACTTCTCTTTTACATTGTTCCTGTCAATGGACCAAATAGTTCCTTTTCTTAAAAAAATTGCTTGTGCAGAAACAGTCATTACCTATAAACCTGTCACATGCAACACAGCATTTTTCTCCCTACTAACACTTTTTCAACAGCAAAAATTAGCCCTCCAAAGCAGGGAAGACCATTACTTTATTTTATTTTTTATTTATATAGCCCCTCCCCACCAAAAAGAAGATGTGAGAAAAAAGATTTACAAAACAAGAAAAGAATCATGTGTACAGTGGCCAGTAGCCCATTTAATTAAAACTCGCCCCTTTTTGCAAATAAATCAAACTAACTTTCATGATTGTTACAGCTTTGAGTCATCTTCAGTGATATCCATTGTGTTTGAAAATCCAAGGATAAAGAGCCTTTCTTACTTTTTTTTTTCATTCATTTCAAGGTCAAAGGAATCCATTCATGAACCATTAATATCCATATGCGTCACTGAAAAGACTATAAGAAATTCTGAAGCCGCATCAGTGCCTCGTTCCTGTAGCAACACCATCCATCTTCATCTTATGTGATTCTTGTACTGGATCCACTTTTAAGAGCAAAATTCCTGAAAAGAAAAAAGAGAAGTCTGCCATAATTATGTAAGTTCTTATCAAAGGCTGTGTACAGATTACAAAAATACCTGGAGCACAGGTTGCTCTTACTCATAGCACCAAATTCATGTTTTATGCCCTGCCATTTTAAAAGGTTTTTCAGGAAGCATCCTGGAATCCCATGGGGATGAGCCCCCAGAATAAAACAATATTAACTACTGCAAAATTTTGATGTGATTGGAATGAGTCTTGGTTAGGAAACAACTCTGATAAAGACAAAGTAAATTTTTGAAGTAGTTTAAAACATATGTGTGGTTCTTTTTCTTTTTTTCTTTAAAAAAAACACCATTGTGTTTTAGTTGGAAAAAGGATGGTTGCATATCTACACATACACTCATGTAGGCCTGTACAATTTTTACCAAACTTTGTTTTCCTTTTGGAACAAAATTGACTAGACCAGCCCCATAATTTCTTCCGAATTAATGAAACTGTACAATGTGGCTACAATCAGAAACTAGGAAGACAAAGAGACTTCATCACTTGCAGAGAGGCTCTTCCTTTTCCATTCCTTTAGTTTAGTTATCATGGTTACTCGGTTGCTGAAGAATGGACACCCTGAATGTGCTCAGGGGCAACCTGTAGTATTTCCCCCTAATGTTTCAGAAGCAATAAAGAGCCTCAAAGACTAACACATTTATTATGGCATGATCTTCCATAGACTAGCATTCACTTCATCAAATGCATTGATTATGATGGCTAAAGTATTTAAAATGATAGTCTTCAAAATGCTACAAGAACCCTTTCTGTTTCTGCTGAAAAAAACAGTCTAAGACTTCTGGCATTAATAACATGTTCTGGGACAGAGCAACAGTACACAGCACCTGTGAAACATCATCCTAAACTGAGGAAACACATGAGCTGTATCCATTCCAAATAAATAAAATATTTATTTCTTGTAAATAAAAATGTTTTATGTAACAAAATCTTCCTTCTGTATGACATTCATGTCTCAACTCCAAGAACTTTGGTTAGTGCGGCTTATGTTAGAGAAAGGCATTTAAAATAAAATAAGCACTGTGGATTTTCGGTTGCTGCCTTTTGCTAAATACTAACATAGAATAGATTTGAATGCTACAGTTTACCTTGCCCTGCTAGATATGCCAATAGATGTCATGACGACTGACCATATACTCAGTTAAATTATCTACCCAATTTGGCTTCTTCAAGATGAGAGCAGCAATAGACAATTAATGTTTTGGCAATACATTGCACTTTAATGTCCCTCCTAGTATATGCAAAGTAGTCTGAGCAACTCAGAAAGTTTGCAGACAAAATCTTACGGTCTAATATAATAGAACAATCAGAATCAATTCTACATAATTTCCATCAAAGATGCCAAATATGGTTGAGCTTCAGGCACCAACTGGAAAAACCTTTGTAATAATATTATTTGCAACGAACAAGCTTTGTAATGACATAACTTAGCATGACAAGTTTGCAGTCTCCTAGAACCCACAGTAGCAGACATTACATTCTACTAATAACTACATATCCTTAGTCATTACCTTGTTGAATGTGTAGAACTCAGGACTAACTTGTAGTAGGATTTGTGCTTCTGACAGCTTTCAAACTCCTATTTTAAAGGGGAAGAGACTATTGAATATTATCTAGTCTTAAACAAAAATACCGAAAATAATCTCTCTCTCATATCCATTTGATTCTGCTTAACCTTAAGCTTTTCAGCAGCGAATAATGGTTCTAGACTGGCTCAATTTTACTACCTCCTAAACATTTAACTGCTTTTGTAATATGTTGAGATAAAGTAACAATAATTTGAAGTTGCAATGGCACTAAAATTGCAGTTGTCCTTACAAGATGGGATTTAGAGTTACAGTATTAATTTTCCACCATGAAATATAAATAACTGGGAAACAGTGAGGAATTCAATTTTAATAATTAGGGAAATAAATGCTATTGACCTAAGGCTAATAATTAGCTCTTTTGAACAGTTTTATACTTTCAATATGCTGTATAATCATGAAGGTTTTGTATCTACCTTCTTCCTTGCACCCTACAATATGATAATTTAGCAGATCACTGAATGAATCAACTGTTGCGTAGAACAGAATGAGTGGGTTCAATGAAAAAAAAAATCTACAGAAGTAGTTAAGAAACGTTTAACTCACATTTGATGCTGCCTTACAAATTCCGCAAACTGCCGATCTTTGGCATAGAGTTCCAGGATCCTAATTCTGTCTTGAATTTCCTGGAACGTTAGAAAATAATACATTACACAATTGTCCTATATAAAACACAACAGTTCCAAACGGTGTTCTGTACTTAGTACAATACAGAGCAGCATAATGTACAAATCTTATATTTTCAGTACTTTTGACTATGCTTTCATCAAATTAGTCTTCCATATTTAGCACTGAAATTGCACACTGATGTGCTATTAGCAAGTCATTCTTACCCACCTCCTTAGTTAGCTCGCTGTGTTCATAAATGTGCCTGATTTCTTCACTGCTGTACTCAGTGGATGTCTCATTGCTTGTTGAACTATAGGAAGTAAGCTGTGGATATCTCCGATAATAGTGGCTGTGTCCAGTAGCATCACTTTCATACATTGGGTTGTATTTCACTGCATTTTCAATAGATGAAAGGCTGTCTCCTTGCCTGTAAAGAAAGTAAAAAGAATTTATGTCAAACACAGGAATCCCCTCTTTGCAAAATATTTCCCAAAGCTTAACTGACAATCTCTGACATTCCAGGGAATAAGCTAGACATTAACCAATGTTCATGCTGCAAAGTGGAGCAACACCTCAAACAGGTAACTGACAGTTGTGCTCTTCCAGAAGCTGTGTTCACCTCTTATTGGGGATACTTGTCTAACATGAATAGAGCTTCCATGTCTGAACTGCCTGAGGGGGTTGACTTTAAAGGTAAAGGTAAAGGGACCCCTGACCATTAGGTCCAGTCGTGACCGACTCTGGGGTTGCGGTGCTCATCTTGCTTTATTGGCTGAGGGAGCGTACAACTTCTGGGTCATGTGGCCAGCATGACTAAGCCGCTTCTGGCAAACCAGAGCAGGGCCCGGAAACGCCATTTACCTTCCTGCCAGAGTGGTACCTATTTATCTACTTGCAATTTGACGTGCTTTCGAACTTCTAGGTTGGCAGGAGCAGGGACCGAGCAACGGGAGTTCATCCCGTCACGGGGATTCGAACCGCCAACCTTCTGATCGGCAAGTCCTAGGCTCTGTGGTTTAACCCACAGAGCCACCCTCGTCCCTGGGGTTGACTTTAGATCTTTTCAATAGGCTAGCACTTTGCAGCAGTCACAATGTATGTGCCCATTCCTCTTCAGGCTCCTATGCTTCCCTCCCATGACCAGGTTGATATTGCCTATTGCTACTCCCAGCTCCCGCTTATCAAGCTAAGGTTACCCACTAGGATTTTTTGGCATTTAGTCCTAACAAGAAGCAAACTGAAAGTCAATTCAAAAAAGAACTGAATTTAAGATTGGAAAAATGAGATACTGAGAGAAACCAAAAATCAACAGATTTGTTCATCTCTAGTATTTGTCTGTTATCTGGCTCCCCTTCAATGCTAATGAAGTGTCCAAGATTAAATAACCTACAAGTTATAGTTACCCTAACGAGTCTTCAATTTCGCTCTTTGTGTACTGATCACGAAGAGTTCTAGCCAGGAAGAAAATAACAGCAGATGCTACGAGAAGGAAGCCAGCTACCGAAGCAATTGCGATACCCACGACTAATGGCTCCGAGACATACTCTTCACAGTGCTCTCCTCTGTACCACCAGTTCTCACCCACACGACATCTGTGATCCACCCATGTCAAAAGGGAAGTGATAAAGAAAATAGTTATTCTATTGTCAACCTGAAATGACTGGAGCTCGTACTGGATGCTAATCTTTACCCATTTAAGATAGCAGCTGAGTGAAATGCTAAAATATTCTGCAATGGGTCAAATTGAATAATGTGAGAAGAGGCATGGAAGAAGCTAGCAGGGAGGTTTAAGGCACAAAGTTTGAGCAGGGAAAAAATCTGTTAGCTGCACTTCTTCCTGATCTTGGGAGGGTCACCCTTCAGGGAAGTATTCTGGATTTATTTTGTTTTGAAACCAGATTCAACTGGATTATCACATAAATAGGCCTATGCCTCTGATCTTCTGCATTTGAAATGTTGCACAAATGTTCACTTACCTGCATATTGCCCCTTGCCCTGGGATTATATCACATTTGCCATCATTTTGACAGAAGTCAGGCTGTAGATCACAAATGCTATTACAAGGCAATCCTTCAATGCTTAGGTAGCCAGGATAACAGACACATTCTGCCTCTCCACTCCACTGGTTCACAAGGCATTCAGAGAACTCATTGCATGCCTGGAACTTGCAAGGATCAGCTTGATCTCCTGGAGGCACCAGCAAAAAGAGAACTTTTACTGCAGTGGCACCAGCATTTGGGGAAACTATTCCTATTGAATTCAGACAGACACCTACAGTTTGTATATTTCTTCCCCTCCTGAAAACATTTTTGTTTCGCCAAGCATTTTTAGAGAATGAATTTGATTCAATGGCAGTCATTTGTTTGGCATTCACTCAATCTCCTGGGCACAGGAATCACGACACTCACTGCCTCCATCTTCCCAGGGTTCAAGTACCGTTTATCTGGACTCATCCAGTTCACTATTGTGCCCAGACAATGATCCAGATCTTGCACAGCCCCTTCTGACATCAATATTATGGAGAAATAGAGATATGGAGAAACAGAGCTGTGTGTCTTGCTGGATGAGGCCAAAGGCCTTCTGTTATTACAGTGGCCAACCAGATTAGCAGGGCAGGATTGCAACAGCACTCTCCCCGCTTGTGATTCCTAGCAGTGGAGGCACAGCTTATTCACCATGGCTAGCAGCCATGGGTAGTCATATGCTCCATGAATTTGTCTAATCCTTTTTCAAAAGCCATGTAAGTTGGTGGCCATTACTGCATCTTGCAAGAGCAAATTCCATGGTTCAACTATGTGCTTCTGAAGAAGTGCTGTATTTTGTCTGTCTCAAATCTTCCAACATTATGTTCAACTGGCCATGAGCAGTAGTAGCTCACTGGGTGAGACAGTCACTATTTTCCCCATAGATGGCTCATTTTTGCTTACACCAGTGGAGAGGAGGAGGGGGAAGATAGAGGGGAGGCTCCACAGTGCAAACACACCACTGGAAACAACCAAGTGCTCCTACTACTAAATTTGTACCATGCTGACCTGCCACCACCTTGCCCTCTATCCTCCCAATAAACAGCAACTCATCTGCCTGGAAACAAACATAGCAGCTCTGCCCCCCACCTAGTGAGCCACTTCCAGCCACAAGAAAAACCTATCCCTATCTACTCTCTTCACACCAAGCATAATTGTGCATGGGTGGCGCTGTGGTCTAAACCACAGAGCCTAGGGCCTGCCGATCAGAAGGTCAGTAGTTCAAATCCCCGTGATGGGGTTAGCTCCCGTTGCTTGGTCCCTGCTACTGCCAACCTAGCAGTTTGAAAGCACGTCAAAGTGCAAGTAGATAAATAGGTACCACTCTGGTGGGAAGGTAAACGGCGTTTCTGTGTGCTGCTCTGGTTTGCCAGAAGTGGCTTAGTCATGCTGGCCTCATGACCCGGAAGCTGTCTGCGGACAAAAGCTGACTCCCTTGGCCAGTAAAGCGGGATAAGCGTTGCAACCCCAGAGTTGTCTTGTGTGTGTGTAACCTTCAAAATGATTCTGGGTGTTTTAGCTTGTGAAATTAACTGACTTGTCACTTCAGTGAGAATAAGGCTTTACTCCTAACTCACTGACCAAGCAGCAAATAATCCATCCTTATAATACCTGATTCCACATCGAGGGAGTACTTGTCAATAGCCAGGTTCATGGTCTGGTAGGCAGTGTTGCAAAAGTCTTCGAGAATCATGTATACAGCATTAGTAACATTGCGAGGCACAGGTCTTGCAAACTTCATTCGGCTGTTCACCACAATGCTACCATTTCTGAAGTTCAGAATTTCCAAATTCTGGAAGCCTGTTAGATTGGACTGTAGATAAGGAACCAGCTACAAAACAGGAAAAATCATATAACAAGATTACATCTATTTTTCTCTGTGTTTGTGCATCTATCCATCTATATGCCTGCACTTGTATGTACATAAACCTAGTTGTTTAATTTAGTTGGGTTTAATTCTGAGTAAACTGGCATAAGATATGTGATGTTAATTCTGTTGGGCTGATTTGAACCTGAAGTTTGAATTTTCCCGTGTATGCCTTAATGTTTAGTTAGCATGCAAGCAGAATGAAGCTTGCATACTTTGCCATTAGTAGGGGCAGGAATAAGTATTGTTAACAATTTCATTTGATGTTTTGTTTTGCCACATAGGTGTAGTCTAAAAGAGGAAATAAAAAATCTGAATAGAAGTATCTGAATGCGAACTATCACAGCAGATCAAGGTGCATTTTAGTCACTGTAGTAAACAAAAATCGAATGTGATGTGACTGGCTTGTAATCATTTGTGCAAAAAGTGTTTCGAACAACCCTGTGCCTCTGGGCTGCTGCTCACATGCTAAATGCGCCCTGGCAAAAAAACTTAGTTTGAGACTATATCTTACCAGCTCTAAGAATCTCTGTTCCAGGGCTTTATACTCAGGGGAATTTTTATTAAACAAGTCCTCTGAAAACATCATGTTGGTAACTCGAAGACTAAAGAATACCACTAATGCGCGTGCAGGGACAGTAACATTGCTGAGGTTTTCATGAGTTGCCCCAGCTACACTGGCCATCTCTGTGGAATGGGCACTTGTAGAAAGCTCCACATGACTTTCAGTCATATGTCTTCCTTGGTCCTGTTCTGTAACTTCCAGATCTTTTGTGATCAAATCTTTTTCCAATTCTGCTAGGATAACTGTGGATTGAACTACAGTTGGCTGTGTGGTGGGCTTGTCAGAGAGGGCATGGACAGAATACTCTGTAAGAGTCAGAGTTGAGGAAGAGCTTACTTCACTGTCAAAACTGCTAGGAGGAGTATTAGTGATTAGGATTGTGCCAAACTCTCCAGTGAAGTCACTGGAGCCAGTTGTCATGTCTTTTAAGTAAGGTACCAAGGTTGAAATTTCAAAATCAGTTGATGCTATTGAACTTGTGACTTCAGCTGCAGGCCGATGGGTAGAACTTTCAGAAGAAGGAGTAACAACAGGCTTCAGAGCAATTGATCCAGAGGCCTCTTGAGCCGTTGTGTCAGGGATCTGCTGTTCTACTATAAAATTATCCAACACTGGGCTTTCCCCAGAAGGTTTTGCTGTTAAAATTATTTCTGGTTTATCTAGCGCACTCCATGGAGAGAAGCTATCAGGTGGTGTTATTGTAAAGGTTATAGGTGGATAATCTGTTGGTGACAGTTCTGTTATGATTTGGTCTTGAATTCCAGTTATTTCAGAAATGATTTCACGATCCTCACTGGAATCTTCCAGTTGTGTTATGCTGTAGGTCTCAGTCAATGTTGCCATAACACTTTCTACTGTAGGGCCTTCTATTTCAATAGATGACAGAGATACAACTTCATCTGGGAGGTCTTTAGATGTGTAGTCCTTTAAGGAAGGCAATATATAATCTGTTTCCTTGTAGTCATATACACCCGATCCCTCTGTCTCCAATGTAGGTCTATACCAAGGCCATATGCTTGTTTGTGGTTCTTGTCCTGAACCAGAAGCATAGTCATCTACGTGGTCTTCTATATATACAGTGGGTTGCAGAGTTTCCTTTTCTAAAATTGTTGGTAATGGTTCTTTAGTGCTAGGCTCTATGGCTGATACAGAGGCCACTGGTGATAGAGGAGCAAGAGGAGTCACAGAATCACTTGTGGGTGGGATGTCACTTGGCACAATGTGAGGGGCAGGACTTGAAGGCAAAAGGAGCTCTTCCAACTCTTTAGAATCCTCAAGCCCTACAAATAAACATATGCAAAGTTAAGTAGTTCTTATAAATTCAGCTTATTGGATTTTATTTACTCAAATTCTCTCCCCCACCCCACCCTGGCAGATTATTTTTATATTCTTTCTCCAGTAAATGCCATCATCTCTTCAGGTTACAATGACTCTTGCTTACACAGGGAGGGGGGCCCTGGAAAGGAAGTAACTCCCCAAGCTTTCTAAGATCAGACATGTAACTCTGCTGCTACCAAGCAAGACAAAATAACATACCATCTTCTAATGAAGACAAATCAGAAATGCTTTCTAAGTCCACAAGTGAGTCAATCTCTAATGCTGTTGGCGTGACAGGATGCAATTTCTGCTTTTCATCCACAAAGAGCAGATCGTCTGGGGGAATGGTGATATCAGATTTTGAGAGGAAAGTATCTTTTGGTGTTGAACTGAAGTTGCCCAGAAATCCATCTGGTCTTAACCAGATTTCATTGCCATTGAACTGCTCGATATCAAAGATGAAACCTGGCTTGGTAAAATCAAGTGGCAAGATGTTGCTTACAGTTGACTCATCCGCAGAGGGCCATTCAGATACCACAACACGATCCTAAAATTCAGATCCATAATGGTTATAAGCCATTATGATTGCCCATATTACCTTACAAATCACAGTGCATAAACCCCAAGGCTTACTCCCACATTCCACCACGTCAATAAGCTACACACCAAGATCATAAGTGACCTATGAAGTTTACCACACAATAATTTCAAAATTACTGATCAGAAGTTGTATCTAGCATTAGTCTTACTCGGAGTAGACTCACTGAAATTAATGGACACGACTAATTTATATCCATTAACATCAATGGGTCTAGTCTATGCATGTAGCCACCACCTATAAATTTGTATTGTCCCATCTGGAGAACCAGGTGTGGCGGGTGGGGATTCTCTGTACCACTTTGCAGGCAACTGATTAGATGCACACTATGTCTAATTACCATTCTGTTCATTTATATTCATCCATCTCCATGTAGCCATTAGTTGAATGCCATTGAGCATTGTTGATGCAGTACTAGAAGGAGAAAGGGCTAGATTCTCTGGCCACCAAGCTTAGAGATGGGAGCAGAATATACTTCTGATCAGGGGCGGAGGAAGGGTGGCAGTGGGGACGGAACGCCCCAGGGGTCATCACTGAGGGGGGTGACATTCGGTGTGCTGCCCGCCCGCGACTCCCAAGCCTACCCTGAGGTGTCAGGGGAAAGGGGGGAGCTGCACTGCTTTGCCGGAGGCCTCCCCCTTAATTTTCACAGCTCAGGGGAGGCTTGGGAGTTGTGGGCAGGCAGCGTGCCATTGCCCCCCGCTCCCGGACTGCTTCCTGGGGGGGGTGAAGCCTCCCCTGAGCTGTCAAAAGGGAGAGGGAAGGAAGGAAGGCTGCTGGCAAAGCGGCGTAGCTCCGTCTCTCACACCACAACACACCCCCGCCCAGGAAGCAGCCTTCCATGGGCAGCTCACTCCACCCCCCCACGGGCGGCTCACTCCACCCCATGGGTGTCTTGCCCCTGGGATGCTCACCGCGGCACCCCCCTGGCCCTGTCCCCGGCTGCACAGCATGTGTGCCACTCCGGGTGCTGGAGCAGCTAGCTCCGCCTCTGCTTCTGATCTGCATGTAGTTAAATCAATCTCCCATTTTCAACAACCGGTGCTGTCTTAGTGGCAGAGATGTTACACAGTAATCAGACAAAGCTCCAACAGCTCTTTTTTGTAAAGTGCTCTCCAGAAGCAACCACAGTGTGCAGAGAAGTTACAGGAAGTTGCTTAACCCTTTCCCCTACCCACAATTGCTCCAGCTCAAATCGCTCATTTTCCATGATTAGAAAAGTGTATAGATGCATGTTTACTTCAATCACGCACCCAGAGCTCTGTGGAGTGGAAAAGCAGCTGGGGAATTCAGAAAATAAAATAGCCAGTGGGGAAAAGGTTCAGCACCTACACACACTCCTCTACTCAGAACTTCCCAATCATATCACTGCTCTTCATTGAAAAAGCTGTGGGGCTTCACTGTAGAAGACAGAAGATGATCTGCCTTAATGCCTGACTTCCACCCTTCTCCCAATCTTCATTGGCTGTCATATGAGTAACTAACATTTTAAAGGAATGTGAGCAAAACCATGAAAAGATAATACTATGTAACCTAGAGAAATGTACACAAGTAGCAAAATAAACACAAAGACTGGGAGCAATTACTTTTCAATAGAAACATTTGGAGCATTTGCATATGTCTGCCAGGAATTACACTTCATCACTTACTTAAATTCAGAGAGATGTTCCTGTGGCATCTAATATTATTCAACAATTCTCAGAATGGTACACTACATTAAGAAATGCAATATGATGCTGGCAAGTTTGGATTTTTATGCACAAGCTATTTGAAGAATCTACAAAATACGATAAAAATACCACTCTGCAAAAACAAATTATTTCCCAAAGCTTTCTGCCAGCAAGACAGCATATTCAGTCTAATATTGTACCTGTTTCATGGATATATCCAAAATAATTTAAATGACTACGAAAGGACTAAACCCTGTATGAAGTACTTATTGTTGCATGAAGGATTTGAGAATATTTTGATTTTCCCTACAAAGAAAATATTTGAGTTTTACCTTATTGTACTTGAATTATTCAGTTAACTTCATAAGTGGCTAAAGGGCAAAGAACTGCTAGAACAAAAATGGCTTAGTGTGAATGGCTGAGCCTCTTGGCTTTCTGAAGAGAGATTGTGCCTCCTTTGACCCTCCCCAGTTATTTTGCTGCTGCACCACACTGAGCTTAGCCATAGTTTGGTCCAGCCTATCAACCAAATTCCTGCTCATGCTTTAACTGTTTACAGACAAACCATGAGTTGTAATCAAGGTTCGTCCTATGGTTTATGTCATGTGGTTTTTACAGGAGAGTTAAACCATGAGCTCAGGTTTAAACTAACTGCTAGGCCAAACTACAGATTATCTTAGCACAGGTTGCAGCAAAGTGAATGGGGATGAGCAAAGGGGATGTGGTCTCCTCTTTGGCAGCCAGCATGCTTGTATGTTTGCACGAAGCCAAGGTTTGGCTTAGCATGATGTTTGAACCAGGCCAATACAAGAAAATGAACTTACATCATCAATGGGCCTAGCAGTAATTCGAGTCGGGTCTTCTGTCACAGAAGAGAACACTTCCTTTACTGTGAAGACAAGTAACAAGGAAGACAGTCATGTATCTTATATAGAGTTCTAAATTGCTTGTGATCTTAAGTGCACTGATTTCATTTCCTATCTCACTGAAGAAACACGCATGCTTCTAAGCAACAATACTGCTAGTAGGAGTTCGGAGAATGGCAGATGTGCACAACTCAGCTTGCTCTCTGGGGCAAGTGCACGACTAAACTCTACTCTACTTGAAGAGTACTCTATGTACATTTTGTACTCTCTAAATTGATGATCACACAAAATAGTTACAGAATTTGATTGCCCAGTTTGACTTTTCTTGAGAATGTGCTCTCCTCTGGTAAAGGATTAGGTTATTTTCAGAACAAAGGTTCTGAATATTTCCTAAGACTTATGTGTAGTACTTTCTCAATAGGGTGTATTAAACACACACACACACACACACACACCCCTGCTCAGTCCAGAAATGCTAGAGTAATGCCCAAGTTGTGGCTATAGCAAACAGAATAGATACATCCACTGGCATGAAGAGACTGAGGAAAGCAGCCACAGGATGCAAATTAGCTTATTTCCCAGGATCCACTGTGGTTTCAAATTATACACGTTGGATTCATTTGCATCTTGCACTAGAATGAGCTGCCTAAGAGCCAAACTAGAAGTGATGTTAAATGTGTATTTGCATCTAAAGTGTGTTTCTATGAGTGTGTCAACTAAGGATCCATCAACTGAGAGGACTGATTAATTATCAGGATGTTTGCATTTTTAAAAACCTGGAAATGGAAAGAAACATCTAATGTCATATACAGATTGGTTCTAAGGGCAGTGGCTGTAGAGAAAAGCAACATGTGTTAGGCTCCTCTGCAGTGCTGTAGAAGATGCTTTGATGAATCACTTTGCTTGCATCCTGAATTCATTTCCCTTGTTCAGTTTTTTACTCTGTAGCCCCCTTCTCAGCCACCCATCCTCATAATCTATGGACTGCATATAATGGGGACATGGGCAAGGACTACTTGGCCATAAATTCAAATACATGAGGCTTGATCTAGAGAGACAAAATAGTGGCTTTGGTTTAAGAGCTTCAAGAGGAAACCCATAACAAGTCACAATCTATTAAATTCCTGGGGGCAGACGTTGCACATTTTTAAAGTGGACAGAAATGACATTTCCTACTTAATACACACCATTAATGAGCTGGAGAGAGTCGGGGTCCAAGTTCAAGGAGGCATTCTCAAGTAAAGCATTCTTATGAAGGATTTCAGCAATATAATTTCTGAAGTCACTGACTGTGTAAACAACGGTGGGGTTATCTTCCATCTCTAGAAAGGCGTTGTCTTCCACTTTGTTGGACTGGAGGTTAATCAGGTCCCAGGTGGCATTGCTGATGGCTTCCCCATCAAAAACCACAGTGTACAGAACCTCCACACCACTAAATGTTTAAGAAAGGAGCTGTTAGAGAGAAGGATGAATGGTACTACTGTTCTATTCTTTCAAAGATTCCATACCCAAGTCACAAATTATATTTCATTCTGATCTTTCTCTCCAAATCTGATAATGGCTAAATACTTGGGAACTGAACTTTCACAGGCTAAGTGGATTTATTCACATGAACAAACATAAAGAACCTTGAAATGCATTGATCTCAACAGCTTTCAAACAATATCCTGCTGCTCTAATTTGGCTCCATCTTTTCACTGAAAAGGGATGTTACAGCATATAAGGCAGGAAATTAATTAGCTATCACACAAGTAAGCATTTGAAGGTTTTGTGTACCTTTCATCCTGAGAAGATCTAAAAGTGAGGGGAGAAGGGAAGGCAAGAAGTTAAAATGAAGTGAGGATGGAATTTTTTTTTCGTATGTAAGCATTACCATTCAGTGTACCTCCCTAGCCCCCGATAAGCTAAAGAACACATATTTGAAAATATTTGTTCCTGGTTCATCATTATTCTACTTCCATACTGCAGCAAACTTGAATTAAAATACATCTCAGTTCATTTTTATCGGTTTATATGAAGTCAGAATTATGCCCTTACCTACAGTATGTTGTGGTATACAGAACATTTTTAATTTAGACTGTGTACAGTACACTCAGTGCAGCCCTGAAACTCTCAGCGTGGTGTTTGGATATCTCCCAAACTAACAAGCTGATTGTGGAGAAGGCACAACATCACACAAATGTGAATTATTATTACTATATCCCCCCTTCACCAGAAGATTCCAGGCCACATCACAGCAGTGTAAAATAAAACATTAAAAACAGTTTAGAAGAGTTTGGATTTGATATCCCGCCTTTCACTCCCTTTAAGGCGTCTCAAAGCGGCTAACATTCTCCTTTCCCTTCCTCCCCCACAACAAACACTCTGTGAGGTGAGTGGGGCTGAGAGACTTCAGAGAAGTGTGACTGGCCCAAGGTCACCCAGCAGCTGCATGTGGAGGAGCGGAGTCGCGAACCTGGTTCCCCAGATTACGAGACTACCGCTCTTAACCACTACACCACACTGGCTCTCGCCAGAGTAAAACAGTTTACAACCACAACCAGTCCTAAAAACAATGTAGCACAGTATCAAAGGCCAGAGTAATCAATCATGAGAATGATTCGTTCTGCTGTAGACAGAATTATGTCATCCACTAACATTGTTATAATTTTTCAAAGGAGAGAGAAATAAAGCAATGGACTTGTATGATTTAAAGCACATGACTTTCTTAAAAGAATTCTAGGAACTATTGGTTGTTAAGGGTGTAATATAGCTCTGAGAGGGCTAAGCTACTGTTCCCAGAATTCTTTGAGGGAAGCCATGTGCTTCAAACACATGATTTGCATGCAGCCTATCGTTGGTCCACTTATGTGTATTTAGGTCCACGTAATGCTATGCTCGATAGTGGCCAGTGGAGGATTGTGTAAATAATTAGAATTACTGTACTGAAATCTGTACCAGTCTGAAGAAAGGCAACATTTCCCTCATATAAAAATTGTGGGTTTTTTTTGAAATGCCATAAATGGACCATCACTTTTCTACACATTGGAAAATGTAACATATGAAGACACCCTCAGTCTAACAAAGGAAACCAAACTAACTCACAACACAAAACAAATGAGTAAGTCAGCAGCAGCAGTATAAATGTGAAGTTTTGTACCAGCAACTTTGGCAACATTAATAGAAGAAAAATGTTTGTATATTGCAGGATACCATACCTGAACTCAGTTACATGGATATTCTTGTATCCAGGCAGCCCTTCATATGCATTTTGAATCTATTTGAAAGACAAGAGACAGAGATTATAGATCCTTTCCACTGCCCAAACCCTTTGTTGTTCCATCTAAATATTCACTTATTGCTCATTGTAGTGCAGGTTCTGGAGGCCAAGACTCTAGGAATAGTTGCATGAAAGATATAGCATTTTCCCTTTTGCAGTGTGTCCTCCTTTATGTGAGGGTTGGAGTATACATCTGCCCCCTAATTCTTTTTCTTTCTTTTTTAAGCAGCAAATGACTATAACCTCTGCAATAAAGGATAACGTATAAACTGTGTAAAGGTATATCAAGCTATCAGTTGGTCTCCAATACGCTAAAAATACTGGGATGTATTCAATGTAATGCAACCAAACAATTCCCCTCTCTCCTCCCCCCATGAGCCCCCAAAATGTGTTCCAGGGACTCCCCAACTATCCAGAGCAGATTTAAAGGGGGTACAGGATGTGCATGGGGGGGGTTCACAGGGGCAGGAGAGGGGGAAATTCCTTTGCACTAATCCTTGTGCTAGTGCAAAAATGCAGTTTAATACTACCCAATGCTATTTCTTCCCTATGTATATAGTGTTGTAAGTTTGCAGAGGGCGGGTAGGCTGATTCACTTCTAATTGCTGAATCCAACAAGAATTCAATTGCTGGAGTAGCCAGGCAAGTTCCTTGGTAATAGCCTAAGTATGGGTCGTCAAAGTAACAAAGGAAGTGTCTCTGTGCCAGAGGAAAAAATGGGTGGGGCCTGCTTTGTCAAGTGTCAGTTGGAAAGCCAAAAGGCAAAGCTGAGGTGTGTGAGCTAGAAGCAGGAAGCAGGCTGGGAAGCAGAGCCATACCTGATTCCTGCTGAGATCCAAGGTCATGGCTATGGGAGAAGCAAAACCTTCTTGGGGTGTTAATGCTGTGAGCCCCTCCATCGTAGGCTCGGGTTGTATATATGTGCAAATTAACAATATCTCATAAGACACCACAGTCTCCGCTGCCCCTCATTCTGAGGAAACCGAACCCTGGAAATCCTGCACCACTAGATTTGAGAGGTGTGCAACAATATAATACAGTTTAGGAAAAAAACAGGTTTACTTAAATAGAATGTAGGTTATGCACAGCTATGAATCCTAAAAGCAAAGTCTGCTAAGGTTTAGAAACGAAAAGCAAAAGAATTGTAGAAATGCATCCCACACCTTGAAGAACAAGGAAAAGGCTGCTTCATGTGCATTCACAATAAAGCAGAAAAGCAATTTGACCCTTCATCTCAACAGAATAATTCCTTTCCATTTTTTAAAAATCTGCTTTTGAAACACACTTTGCCCAGAATCAAAACCATCCAAGTGCTGCAAAATAGGAAGGGTGTCTTTGTCCAAGCACAGAAAGAACTAGGCAAAAGATGAAAGGGCCATTCAGATGCCAAGTGGCCTTTGTCCGATCAGACATTTCTTTCGTTTATAGTATGGCACCGTTACTTGGCCACGTACGTAGGAAAATTAAGACGTCTCTCCTAATCTGGCCATGTATAACAGTTGCAGTGGTTCTCTTTGGCTGTGGGATAGAATTTATCTATTCCCCATATGATACAGTATCTGTCAGAAGATGAGTCCCAGTATATTGAATTCAAAAGGATTTGCCAAGGCGTGATCCAGGTGAGTTGGGGGGGGGTACTGTAATTGTTACTGTTATTTCACAGATCTCACAATAACAGCTGGGCCAAGGTGGTTAGAGAGGCAGTGGTGATCAAAAGCACATAATGCTATTGGCAACTTAAGGCAGGCCCAAGATAAAGAGACATTTGGAAGGTGGCCAGTTGTGCATGTGAGCGCCTTAAAATGATCCCGTCACCCAGACCAACATGCTTTTGTAAGGAGGGAAAGATCAAAACCGATCATTCATGTCGCTTATAATATAAACAGATGTTAGGTTATGAGAAAGGGCAACAATTGTGAGACGAGGAAGGTTTGGTTACAGTAATAATATGAGGTCACAAAGAACACACCTGCATCTGTGAGCTCAGATCCTATGAGAGCAGGGGAAGTCAGGAAGATTTCCAGATTCCAGAGGGTTTGTTTTCCTCCAGTGCCAACCTCGCTCAGCAAGGATGCCAGATGCAGAGAGAAACAAATCTCAGCTCACAGAACTTCCTTCACCGGAAGGTAGAAGAAAGGGATGAGAGACCTTTCTGTGGTTGGTGTGTGGATGGGTGTGACAGAGAAAGAGTGGGGCAAAGCTCAGGGGCAGAGCATCTCTTTGGTAGGCACAAGGTCTCAGGTTAAATCCCCAGCATCTCCAGGAAGAGACACTTGCCTGAAATCCTGGAGATCTACTGCCACTCAGTGTAGACAGTACTGAGCAAGATGCACCAATGGTCTCACTCAGTATAAGGCAGCTTTCTATGTTACTAAAGGTTTCAGTACTGAAGAGCTGGAAGGATTAATCTGCTCCTGGTGCATGTCACATTCCTAAATCCCCTTTCCACTCTATTTCCTCATGAATACAAAAATTCGTAAACAAGTACATACATACATATTTACAGATATCAGTGCATTCATTTCTAAATGTATTTCATTGTAATATATTATACATTTTAGTACTTTTCTGAGTTTAGAATTAAACTGCAAAATCTTTGAGAAGTGCAGTCTGTGGTGTATTTATATTTCAATCCATATATTGGACTATGTACACACTAAGCCCGTGGTGCCCACAGGGGGGCAATTAGATTTCTAAGGCGGGCAATTTGAGAATGAGATATTAACAGTTTATGGCCTTTTCGGCTTCCTCCACGTGAATAGGACTTTAATTTCTGAATAATAAAAATTATATGTCGTGGGGGGGGGTTAGGATTTTAGAGATGCTTAGGTGGGGCATGGTGAAAAAAAGGTTGGGAACCACTGCACTAAACCATTAAAGCACATTCAAAGCACATTTCCCTTTTCAAAGAATTCTGGGCACATACAACATATAAAAAAAGTACAAGTAACACAATTACTTCAGAAATAAACTGCAGTGAGAGTTGCTGGGATTCTTCAGTAAAGGGGTCGCTCAGCTCATTTGTGTATTTCTCCTCAGGAAGAAGAATGCTGAACTCAACCATCTGTTCATGAGCTGGGGTCACCAGTTTCTCATCTCTCTTTATCTCATTATTGATCTGATGAAAAAGAAATTAATTTTACTTAGCGAATTGTGGTTAGAAACCATCCTTTCACCAGTACAGGTTAAACACCAACTTAAATTAGTATGAAGGAGGCTATTCCTTCATTATACATGCAAAGGGTTCCTCATGCGATTACTGGGCAGCAAGGCTAAATTGCTGGCTCCACCTTCAAGGCTGGGTGGCTTCCACCAACTCTAGCCCCAACTTGCCATGTTAGGCTTTTCACCTGCATACAGTTACACCTATGTGCATAGATCTCTATGCAAGTAGGCTTCACAAGGAGCTGAACCCCTGAAAAACCGGGATTCAAGTTCCTGGAGAAGCCTACTTACATAGACAGTCCTTCAGCAGAGGTCCCCACCTATTCCAGTGATGTTAGTGGAGAGAAAGTCATGTGATCTTGAGGGTGGAGCCAGCAGGGCAGTAATTAAGTGAGGACCCTTTCACATAGGAAGGCTCTAATGTGCACTTGTTTCTGGTGCAATGCTTTTCAAATTTCTACCTCTTAGGCATAGGGATGTGGTTGAAGATAAGCCTCAATTTCCACTGCACCTCAACTAGAAACAAAACAAAAGTCAAAGGTGCTATGGAAGTGTCATAGTTTCCTATAATGTACTTACACATTTATTTCATTCAGCTGTCATTGCTAGTCAAACACTTCTTATAAGGTTTTGAAACAATGCAAAATCCTGAAAAACCTGCTTACCAGAATAGAAAGTGAGGCAAGGAAGATATTGGGGAGTGGTGATGTCAGGACATATTTGGGAGTAGGAATCAGGAGAGATGGGGCTAAATCAAGGGAGGGAGGTGGGGCTAGGGGAGAAGAAAGAAAAGGTATTTGCATCTCTTATTTGTAGGCGTGAGGACCAACCAATTTGGATGACTTTTGTCTCCCTTCTAGACTTTTAAGCCTATGAAATGCTATCAAACCCTGAATAGAAATAGAATTCTTTCTAAATAAGGTGCTGGATTTTCAAAAGTGTCAGCCTTCAAGGATTTAGAAATAAAAACATATGTTACATGTCATCTTGGTTACACTTCTGTCATCATCATTGTGATCCCACCTTTCCCTCCCCCCAAGAGAGACTCAAGATTACAAGCTAAACTAGAAACAGCTTAGAAACATATAAAAAGCAAACACACACACACACACACACACACACACACACACACACGTAATGATCACATAAGATAATTACAATAAAATCACCACAGCACCAACCCTTGCCTTAAAAGCAGTCAGTTCCCCAAAGCCTGTTAGAATAAGGAAGTCTTCACCTGCCACAACAAGGAGCCAGTCTTACTCCTCTAGGTAGGGAGGAAGTTCCAAATTATGGGAGCAGCTACCAAGAAGGCCCTCTCCCAGGTCCCTACCAAGTGTGCCTGTGAGGGTGGTGGGATAGAGAGAAGAACCTCCCCGAAGGTCTCAGAGCCCAGGCAGGTTTGTATGAGGCAATGCAGTCTTTCAGATAGCCTAGACCTAAGCCGTATAGGGCTCCATAAGTCATAACCAGCACTTTGAATTGTGCTTGGAAACAGACTGATAGCCATTGGAGCAGTTGTAACTGGGGAGTCATATGCTCACTATAATTTCTAGAGCAGGCTTCCTCAACCTCGGCCCTCCAGATGTTTTGAGACTACAGTTCCCATCATCCCTTACCAATAGTCCTGCTAGCTAGGGATCATGGGAGTTGTAGGCCAAAAATACCTGGGGGCCTGAGGTTGAGGAAGCCTGTTCTAGAGAGTGCCTTAAACATGAAAGACATTTTTACTAAGAAGCATTTTTATTGGTTGGAGTTATTTACTTATTTGTTTTGTTATTTCAGTTTGTGTGCTGTTCTTCCACATAAACTGCTTGACAAATCTAGAAAGGAAAAGTGAATGAAAAGTGAATACAATTTCTTATCCCCAAAACCAGTCTAACAAGGAGCTCATTACACATACTTCTGTGTCTTCAATTTTGTCAGTGGTACTCTCTGAAGGACTCTCAATTGAGACCACATCAGGTGGTGGAACATTGGCAGCTGCATCTAAGGTGGAAAACATGCAATATATACCCTTAGTCAATTAATTAATTGCTAGACGGTATAAACAAAGTTGAAAAGAATGAAATTTGCCAACCTGGGGGGGGAAATGTCTTGAAATGTTCGCAAAATTTAAAAATGGTGGTCACAGTAAAGCTACATAAGACATTTTGTGTTATTTTTATGGTTTGCTTCATGACAATGTGGCAGGAATAACACTGACTCGAACCTGAGCCACAACAACACAAATATTGACTTGCCCTACTGCAGCTTAATCATAGCTTTCTGGACACACGCAAATATGCCCCTTCTGATTTCTGATATGGCTAGAGCAGCAGGTCAACCTCCATGTACCCACAAGACACCAAAGAAAGGAAAGTAATGAGACCCTGCAATCCTATGAATAAGGATGTCCATCACTAATTGAAAGCCTCAAGTCTTCTTACTCATTTACTGCAAAATTAACATATGAATAAAGGAGAACAGACCTCTCAATGTGGTAGCATCCCCAGTCGGAGAAGGCGTTGGCAGCCCAAAACTGAGAACCAAAGACAATAAAAGGATTAAGTGTAAAAATTGGATTAAAGTTTTCCTTCAAAAATAATCTTGCCCTTAACATGTGTCAGCCTCGGGGACCTTTTAACAAGCTGAGGAGAACTACTGAATAAAATCCTCATAAAACTTTGCTGGTTCAGGTTGTGTGTGGCGGTATATGTGCATCACTGGTAGGTTATATTCAGTGGACCCCATAAAACACGAGAGATGGGTGCAGATAAAATATGAGGTGTGTGGAGTCTGGCAATCTCCCACAATGTTTCTGTTACTTTTCCAGCCCCAAAACTGAGTGTGAAAGAGGCACTGGCCTCTCACTATCCTAGTGTAATAATATCTCACCAGCCTCCATTCCATGGTGAGGTGTACTCTGCAACTTGTTCTTGACATAATAATAATGATGATGATGATGATGATGATGATAATGATGATGATGCATTAGTGGTGGATTTATTCCGCTTGAATTGGTTATGTGATGCTTCCCCAATGCTACCCACCTTATTACTGCCCAGAGAGGCTATCGTACAACATAAACAGGTCAAAAATGAACCAGAACATCTATGTTATGAAAAGTCATGGGATTTCAGCAGCGAGTTACAGGATATGAACTGGAAGGAAATGAAGCAATATGACTGTCCCAAAACTTTTGTAGGTGCAAACTTTATTGACAGCAAGACCGCACATGACCACTCTGGCAGGATGTGAATAGGGAATAACAACCAGACGTCTGGAGGGGCCCATAGTTCTTTGAATTAATCATAAGAAAGAATTCACTAGCAACAGAAACCCAGTTAAGAGTCTCACATTGGGACTATAAATCCCACCTCTTTGTAAGATGGGGTACGGTCCTTTTCTCACGCTGAACACCACACATACATGATGCATTTCGTCCATGCAATAAATATGCTTGATAGAGATGGTTGCCACAATATTTCCCTCTAGCAAGAGTAATTGACCATATTGTCTCCTGACATCTTTAAGTCTGCGTTACAGTTCTGCATATATATTGTCATGGCCAATCCCACTTAGTGCAAATGATGGTTAGATTTGCCAACATGTAAGCAAACTCCAGGAATAAATTTATGGAATGTCATGTATAGTCATCATGGAATTTTGGACTTGGAGAAAACTGTTTGAATTTAGGAATCCAGTACTAAAACCACTCCCCATAAATATTTATCTGGCACCTTCTTCCAGCAAATACATTGCACAACTTCAAGAACACAGGAAGCTGTGTCATATTATTTGTCCATCTAGTCCAATACTCTCTGACTGCCAGTGACTCTCTAACATCTCAGGCAAATGTCATTCCTGCTGCCTGATCATCTTTTAACTGGAGATTTCAGGAACTAAACATGAGATTTTATACAACATATTCTTTACCATTGAACTGTGATCCTTCCCTCTTTAAGGGAACTTTTCTGTTGTTGAATTCCTAATAGAAATAGGACTTATTTCCATATTATTAGATTAAATCTAAACAGCCATAATTTAAGCACATTCATTTCATAAAAATAGCATAAGAATATAATAGTTGTTGGGCCATTTCTTAATGGCAGCCCCATAATTCTTTTTTCTTTGTCAGCAATAAAGAAAGCAAATATTCAACCAATTCCTAGAAGGAGAATTAAGAAATATGGCAAACTAATCCAGTCTTGTTTGTGGTTTATCCAGGTAGGATGCTAAAGAGCAGCTTTGCAGCAAGATGCACAAATTTAGGACATGTTGATACATGAGACAGTATGATACTGCATATGGGAACACCAAGATAGGTTAAGTGAGATGTGCTTTCTCCAAATAAAGCAACACCTTTCACATTTTACCGTGGGGAGAGATGAGTGGTTTTTTACTTCATACATTATAAAGGAATGCAAAGGGGAAATGCAAGGGATCAGTACTTCCTCTGTCTCTCCTAAAACCAACCAAGGCACTGCTGATTGAGGTGTGATTTTGAATGGTGTTGTTCTTGTCTAAATCAAACACTATCTTCATCTCTGCACCACACTATATCTGGTTCAAGGAGAACCAGAACAGGCTAAAAGACAAGAAGACACAGCTATTACAAAGTTCACAGGCTGTCATGTTGCTGCTGTTTATACATTAGCTTCGATTATTGTATCATTAGAAAACCTAATCATTTATTCTAGCGACCTATTTTCTATTTAAAGAATAGTTTCGATCAAATTACAGCTTTCTCTCTATTAGCAATTTCATTATTAGTTATATAGATGAATCTTGGATAGGGAAAGATTATGACAGCAATTGTAGACTCATTAATAGTTTGGAAAAGCTTTTTCTAGAAGAAATGGTAAAATACCCTCTAAATACAGGAGCTTTAATTTCCCATATAATCATGTCTACACCTACTAAATAATAAAGTATAATTTCCAGTGTGACAGAGTAGAGCCAGCCATTAGGCAGAAAGAGATAGACCAGTTCAGAGTTTGGAGAACACCAAAAGGCAGCAAATTGTCACTTGTTATATTTTTACTACCATGGAAGCCATTTGGATTTTCAAATCTAGACAGAAATTTTGAACTAATTTCACCATGCCTCTGACCAAAGAGGATTCTTCATATTTTTGGACATCTTTTTCTTTCTTCCACATGATTATAGTGGTTTTTAAAAAATAATGCACACCACCACTTTCTCAGAGAGAGAAACCACAATTCACCACTAGCTAAATCTCATCTTTAAATGATAGTATTAGAAGCTGTGTATGGTTCTTGAAAGAATGATAATAGCTACATTACTAGGAACTTTTTCGATGCAGCGTTCAAGCTGGAAGAGCTTGATAGTAGCCTCAGTTAGGATGTCATTGCATAAATAGTAACCCTTTTTGAGGGAGGAAATAGTCACGTTTGCACAAAATGAACCACCACAGTGTGCATTCTCTCCTGCCATTTGTTTCTTGCTTTCCCAAAGTTTCAAATTTATGGAGATTTTAGAGTATCCCCAGCTTGCTAAGACCCCTAGATGCACGAGCTGGATCCATGATGCAGAGAGGGAAGACCAAAAAAGGTGAATACTGGGCAGAGAGGGGAGAAGGGAAACAGCAACCCTGCCAAGGAAGTAGGTTCGCCCAGTCAGCCATCTTTCATTGGCAGAGGGAGTGAGATTCTCTCACTAGGAGGCCTAAAATTATTCTCCTGGTCCTGAGTGAGGCCTCCTCATGAGTAGTGGCCTGCTTGTGATTGAAGTAATAAAGACAGGGAATTGACAGGACAGACACATATAAAATAAAAAGGAAGGGGAAAGCATAGAAGGAACACCCTCCATGTCGCCTCATGGCCAGAGAGGGAACCAGGAATCTCAGAGAAGAAACTGAGTGATGATAACTTCCCTGCTACTGAAGCAAATGGGGCCTGAGCCTTGTTCTACTCTTCCTTTCCTCACAATATGTAAAAAACAAATTATATAAAATGAAATCCAGGGGATAACTTATGCTAAGGGCATTTTCTGAACTCTTGCTAAAAAGGTGTTTTAATGTTGATGAAATATTTTAAATATTTCTATCCCACCTTTCCAAATAAAATTTCCAAGGTGGCTTTCAATATAGTTTAAAACAAATAACAATTTATTACAACTGCAGCTGAAGAAGGAACAACACCATCTTTTCCCAGTAGCAATGGATCCCGCATAAACCATTCAACAACCACCAAATCACTGAAAGCCACTAAAACCATAGGCCAACACTTTTTTTGTGTTACTATGCAAACTGATTGGTACAACTAAGGTACCAGCACTGAGAAGACCTGATTAGCCATCCCATCTCTCCACAGAAAATAATATAGAAAAACAAATGTTTACAGTCAAATAGTCTTGTTTGTTTTAATTCACAATGAAGGAGAAGAGAGCTGTAGGGTTTTTAAAAATAAACAACAAAATAACAACTAGAAGTGTTTATGTAACTTTTAGTATTACGCAATGTAATGTTATATTTAAAGTAAAAAAAATGTTAAGGGGAAAATCACATGGAATGTAAGAGGTAACAAATTTATCCCTAAATGCATGCTGAAGCCAATGACATAATTTCTGGACAGAACCTGGTCTATTTAATTGCCTAATTTTTCTCTTTAGAGTTCAATTATATTACAAAATTAAACAGTGGTGCTTTATTGGTTCAGAGGGGACATAACACACCACAAACTTTTATTTCTCTTGCAGAATGGGAATTCTTGTGAAAGCTCAGATCAAGGTATAGGGGTCCCCAGATATTGAAAATAAAATATCTACTACCTGTTTAAATTAAAATATGGGTCAACATATATTTTCTTTTCCTTTGTTCTACCCTTGCTGCAGAACACAAAACTGGTGAGGTGGATTTTACCTTCAGTTATGCTTGTCCAACCCAACAACTTCGGTGAGAAAAATTTGGTCCATGGAGTTCCTATCATAACTTACTTATAGATAAAATAATAAATAACAATACTATAATATCTATTGCCTACCTGCATAAATGAAGCTCTGGATCAGCTTGGCTGAGTATTAAGCAAAATATTAAAAATGTATTAAATGTATAAGCAGATTTTTGTAAACAATAGAGACCTAAGTACAGAGAACAGAGAACTTCAGTCACCTAGGCCTATGCAACACTGTTAAGGTTTGGAGCTCAGGCAACCTCACCAATAGACAAATTCCATAATAAGTGTAGCCATGCTTCTACTGAAAACCTGAGGGAATCTGCATGTTAATTTTTGCAGAGATTTCCAGTAATGAGGTAAAAATATTCTCTGCAAAAAGGAAACAGGCAAACTGTGCTGCAATGTCATTGTACCCCTTTTACTTTACCAAGGGTGAAACAACTCGGGTAAATGCGTAGTTTGGACTATTAGCATGCTTAATATTTCTATTTTACATACCACCTTGAGGGGAACTAATTGGGACTGGGACCTTCATGAGGGCAGAGTGGTCTTCTAACACTTCAATCCCATAGCAAAATCCTGACAAATATCCCACCCCCAATAGCTGCTATTTGTACTGGCAGCTTCCCTCACAACACAAAAAGCAGCTTTTGGGGAGGGATTTTCATTAGGATCGGATCATGAAGGTAAAGGTTTTTGTTTTGTTTTTTAAATCCCCTTCATCACGACTCCATCTTGATTTTTCTCCTACTGCTATTTAAAGTAGAGAAATTTAGCATGGGAGTTATACTCTGCTCAACGATTATTTTCAGAGTAGATAATTGTTTTATTATTATGATATGCCAGTCAGGTCAGCAAGGGCTGTTTCCCACACTGGCCCCAATTCATCCAAAATTAGGCTGCAATCCTAAGAACACACGTGCTTGGGAGTAAGTTCCATTGAACTCAGTGGGACTTGCTTCTGAGTAAGATGCACACAAGATTGCTCTGTCAGTCTAAAATTTTGCTTGCCACTGATTGTCAACCGTTGAGATTCCTGCATTGCAGGGAGTTGGACTAGATGGTCCTCAGGGTCCCATCCAACTCTACAATTCTGTGATTCTAAAAGGGGAATGTACTGTACCATGAAAAAACACAAGTATTTAAGCTAGAAGCATATTTTGGATCTGTACTGAAGTCTCCTGGGGTAAACACTGTAAGATTAAATACAAGCTGGAGGTTGTGATAGAACTTCAAGGTTCTAACTTTAGGTGGATCAGAGCCACAGTGTAATATTTTTGGGAAGCCACAGAAAGGCTTCACACCTTTGTTTTCTAGAAAGGCATTTCTAGGCTTTTTCTGGATTCTCATAGAGGAAACAGCTGTCAAAAGCATAGGAGAAGGGCCAGGGCTCAGTGGTACAGCATCTGCTCTGCATGTAGAAGGTTCCAGATTCAGTCCCTGGCATTGCCAGATAGGCTGGGAAAAAGCCCTGCCTGATATCCTGGACAGTCGTTGCCACTCAGTGTAAAGCAGATTCCTATATTCCGTAGCTCCCAGACTGCTGGAAAATCTAAATTCAGTTGGTTCAGTGCTGCAGGGTTACTAATTGCTTCGGATTACGGGCATTGTCGGGGTTACTGACAATGTGTGATGCACATTGTCAGACAGAAGACATGGGATCATTATTGAACCCCACCCTATCAGCAGAAGCCCTGTACAAGGACTGCCACTTGTGCAACAGGGCTTTCCCACTCTCCTTCCCCTGTACCCCCAAAATTGGCAGGGCAGGGGCGGGGCGGGAGACCCCTCAGAACAGTGAGGAGGTTAGCTGACGGGAATTGTTTCATTGGGCAACCTGCAATGCTTGTGCAGATGATGCATTCATCATAGCGCAAATTTTAATTTTACCTTTAGCCTTTGTATCTCCTATTATCAAAAAGTGGTAAGATACTCTGAATTTGCCATATAAGGTGCATTCCAGGTTGCCATATTTCAAAAAAACCGGCTTGCCATACATCTGGATTTTCCCAGACATTTTTTTGGTGACCGGACACTGCTTCCAACTACAGTATTCCAAGTATGTCCAGGAAATTCCAGACATATGGCAACCCTTAAAGCACCTGATATCGTTTGTAATTAAATGAATGGGAAATAACTCATTTTTGCATTGGGCTTATCAACTATTAAACATTACCTTTCAAAAATCTGAGATATAAATAAAAGAGCCCCCAGCCCCTCTTTTAAGATTAGACAATACTTCTCTTAAGTTTACATTCAATTATAATAAGGGATATCCAGTGTTAGTTAGGATTTAGGTCTGAGTATGACTAAATCTGGATTCCACACACATATTCCATGTTTAATCCAATGAATTTACAAGGTGGACTGCAGTCAAAGAAAACAATTATAAAACAATGAAAGAACATACAAAGTTCCAAGTAAAACAACTACAACCAATAACATGAGCAGCATCAACAAAACACCAAATAAAACAACAGCAGAAGCAGTATATTCATTAAAATCTGACGTGAATAAAGCCATTTTAGGCTTGCCAAAACCTCAAAACAGTGGGCACTAGTCGGGCCATGCTACAGTTTCTATTGTTCTGGTAACGTATCTTGTGTGCTGTTTTAGTTGTGCGTTGCATGTGGGGCTGCCCTTGAATACAGTTCAGAAACTAGAGTTGGCAGTTAGCACACAACTGCTAAATTAATAACCAAGGCCAGATGTACGGAGCACATCTAGTTGGTCTTGGAACAGCTGTTCTAGCTCCTAATCCTTTCCCAGGCCTAAGTTAAGATGCTAGTTTTTATCTTTAAAAGGACTATACAATATTAACTGCCCTTCCCCCACATGATTCTGCCAAATAATGGATTTCTTCTGCAGAGGCATTTCTTCAGTTCTCCCCACCTACTGTGGTAAGAAGGTTGGTGCAAGGTGCTCTCCTCATTTACCCAATCTTTTATTGCTGTGGAGTCTTGCATTGTTTCAATATTATTCTTGCCCTCTGTTTTTTTTACCTCTACTGCTACTGGTTTTATGCCGGTTTATATTGTTTTTATGTATTTATTGTAATATTTTGTTTTTTATTTTGTTAGCTGCCCTGAAAAACTGACCTAGAAATAGTACAAAAATAATCAAGAGTGTAGAAGCCAGCCATTTTATTATCTGCTTAAATTCTATAATATAATCATAAGGCCAAAATTTGAAAAGCTATGTGTTAGAGCATAAAGTCAAAAATACCTCAGCATACACACATGAAACACACATCATCAACAACAATAATAGATGGAAATCCTCAGCTGCTGTTTCAAGATCGCCAAGAAAATGGGAGACTGCAAACAGTAAGTTAAGGAACTATTTATCATTTGCAAGTAAGCCAATGGTATTCTAGGTTACTTCAAAGGGAAACAACCATAGCTCAATGGTAGAGCAAATTCTTAGAATGCAGAAAATTCTTGGTTCAACCCCTGACATATACATGTGGGGCTGAGAAAGATGCCTGTCTGAAACCCCAATGAGTTGGTTGGGATGTAGACAATACAGTGGTACCTCAGGTTACATACGTTTCAGGTTACATATGCTTCAGGTTACAGACTCAGTTAACCCAGAAATAGTACCTTGGGTTAAGAACTTTGCTTCAGGATAAGAACAGAAATTGTGCAGTGGCGGCGCAGCGGCAGCAGGAAGCCGCATTAGCTAAAGTGGTGCTTCAGGTTAAGAACAGTGTCACGTTAAGAACAGACCTCCAGAACAAATTAAGTTCTTGACCCGAGGTACCACTGTACTGAACTAGGTCAGGACCACTGGTCTGAGTCAATATAAGGCAACTTCCTATGTTTTGCAAATCAGGAAAGAGTGAATGTTTGTTAATGTTTGTTTGGCTTACGCGGTATGAGAACCAGGACACTGAATTGTCCAAGGGAAGGCCCAATTTTAACCTTCGCTGAAGTGAAGGCACAAGACTGAGGGTTGATCATCAGTGAGCTGCGCACAGGTGAGCTGCATGCAAGCTGCCGGTCAGTCCTGTGGAGCCTCCTTTTATTGAGACAAATATGCAAGCTAGGCAGATACATTTTGGGCTGTGACCTTTACACATCTTCGGTCCCAAGATCGTGGGGTGGTTATTTTGGCACCTGTTTCCACAGCGTCATTTTCCTCTTGCACAGTGTATGACGAAGGAGACAAAAGGTCTCAGAGACAAAGGTTACAGACAGGACACCGCAGACTGCTGAGACCGCAAAAGGTCAGACAGAGGGAACGATGTACAGACAGCTGTGGCTTGTCTGGGGGGGATGTGCTACGCACCCCAGGGTCACGCGTGCAGGCAGACTGTAACTGCCTGCTGGTGGGGAGTGTGCTCCCTCCGGACCCCACTGCCCACTCCGCGATATCCCTACACTTCGCCTCCCAAAGTTTCATAGTATTTGTTCTGAAACAAATGTACCCTCCTAGCATTTATTACCCATACATGAAGTTTAAAATCCTACACCTGATTTTTCTAATTATAATTGCAGAGGGTGGGGTTGTATTTAATAGAATTCTTCCATTCTGGCTGCAATCACAATTTTGCGACATTACGCGACATTTAGAGGGCTAACAACCTATGTTTCCCATGCTTTGCAAATGCTGCATAGATCTGTGTTTTAAATGCTGCTGGTTGCTGTTTTGGTGCAAACCCTATAGTGCAAATCCATTTCAGAACAAAGAAGTCATAATCAGCTGCCCATGTTGTTATTTATTTATGCATCTTCAGTGTGCATGGTGTTTCATACAGTATAAAAGGGCAGGTCCCTGCCCCAAGGAGCTTATAACAAGAAATGTAAGAGCAGTCTTGCTGGATTAGACCAAAGTTCCATCTAGTTGGTGATCACAGTGGCTAACCAGATGCCTGCAGGAAACCCACTGGAAGACATGAGCTAAATAGCACTCTTCATCTAAAATTCGACACAGAGTAAACAACAAAAGAGGAAAGGGAAGGCTGGACCTTCCTAGGTAGGGTATTCTAGGTGGAATGTGCCACTGCAGAGAAAACCCTGCTCTTCATCACAGACAACAGCAGAGATGCTCTGAGGATCTTAACTGAAGAGGAAGCAGGTGTTCTTTCAAGCAGGGCTGGACCAAGACATTTTGGTGCCTGAGGCAAAGCACCAAAGCACAAGATGGTCCTGCCTCCCCACGAGGGAAGAAGGGGGGAGTGAAGAGATACATTAGGAACAAGGGGGTGGGGGAGAGAAAGATCTCCATTGGGATCTGCTGCCCCTGTGGATTTTGCTGCCTGAGGTAGTAACCTCATCTTGCCTCACAGGTGGGCCGGCCCTGCCTTCAAGTATCTCAGGGCCAGATCAGTTAGAAGCTAGACAACCATCTTATGAGTCAGCACTCTTGATCTTTGGAGTAAAAACAAAAATTAAGTCAATTGCTTCCCACTCCCCACAAGAATCCACAGGTGCTTATTTGATTTCAATAACAATTTCGAGCTTTCATTATGACATAGATTATATAGCAAGGTATGAAGGCAAAGTTTATGACTTGGTGTGCCATTTTTTCTTTTAAGTGTAAGGCTTTTTTACCCTGAACACTATTTCCCATTTAAATTATACATGTGTATAGAAGGATACAAAGCCTAATTAAAAAAAAAATCAATACTGATTTAAGGACTTGGTCTTCTACAACTTTTAAAGAGCCAAGTCTCTTTCTACATTCATGAAACATCAGTTATATTGGAACATACTTTCATCCTAGTGTTGCGTAATAGTCAGTAAAACCAACTGAGCTATTCCTGGAAGTAAGTTATGCAATAAAAACAAAACATTTTCATTTTCTAGCTACTCCAAAACTATCCAGTACACAATAATTAGCTGAAATCACCTATGCACAACTATTTTCCCAAGTCCGGGTGAGATTTTATGAGGTGCTAAGGGAGACATAGCCAAAGATGTAGTTTTATAACATTGTGCCAGACTTTTTTTTATAGAACAACTGTTTTAAGACTATGAAAACAAGGCGAAAACAAAGGCTGCCAACAAAGCATTTTAAGTTGATTTGCCAACTTAATTTATATGTCCTTTAAGTTTGAACCCTTCTCTTTGATCTCTAGAAGTTAAATATTTGAGTGGCAGGTTGGGTACCTCTCAACTCTCATGCACAAGGCAAAGTGAAGTGGCTACCTTAAACAGGAGACACTGGTGTGTGGGGTGTGGCAGCAAGGAGTTGGAGGACAGATCTGTGCCCCACACAACCTGAAACTGCACCTTCTAACCCTTCCCATGGCTCTCGGGTGCAGAGGAGGATGCTGTCTGGCCACCAGTGTTGAACTAAAATTCAACTGGCATTGAAAGGGTGTGTGTGCACCATCTTGTCCTTTGAATCGGGCATAAAAATATCTTGGGCCTGCCCTGCTCATGCATGTATGTCATGGGTGGGCAACCTTTTTGAAACTGAGGACTGCATCGTGTCAGGGGGAAAGT